GTCTATCTCACTGATGTTTGAAATTGCTGCATCCTCTTGGACCACACAGGACCATGGGGAAAAATTGAGCTTACCTTCTCTTGTTAACATGGTCAGTGGAAAATCAATTTAACCCCTCTCAAACTTGCTCATCAGCTATTCTGGTTTTGGGCCAATGGCATAGGAGTTGGGTAACCCCCAGAAAAAGTGGTGGTCTCTGAAAGCTTTACTTTCCTACTGGGACATTCTCTTCTGTTTTGCGTCTACCTTGATCAGTTTTCATCATCCCATCCAAAAAAGGCAAGGAGGACATACTTGATTGTCCGTGTTCTAAGGTCTCCAGCGGTAGGATCCTTAAGTGAGGAAATTGGAACATTCACCCAATGCTCTGTAAAATGGAGAAAAGGCAGCTGCATAAAGAGAAAAGGACTGAATTTGAGGTCCTGTAAAATTCAAATCCTCTATTAACAATTTCCCCTGTCACTGAAAACTAGCCAGACTCCCTTAAAACTGGGCTTCTGTTTATTGTCTATTGACTCCTTGCATGTCTGTGAGATTTCATTGTTTTGGTTGTTGTTCATTAATGGTTTCTGGGGAGGAGAAAAAAGTCAATAAATTTACTTTCTATGCCCTCCCATAATGGAAGGGAAATGTTGCAAAACTACCAAGTTGTGGTCTTTTGTCTGTTGGTTTTTTTCATTGGTTTCTTTTCCATAGCCTCCAAGTAGCAGTTAAAAGTCTTCTGGACTTGATCTGGTTCAAGCCAGAAGGAATCAATTCCCTGATATCTTGGTGGTAATAGGATTCCTTCCTGGTAAGCAGTCCTGGAACCAGAAGCTGAGTCAGAGAGTTTTATTAGGAGAGGGAGGCGGTGGGACTTGTCTGTCTCCAGGGGTAGTAATATTTTCCAGAGGGTGAGCCTTCTGTTACCAAGTTATGCTTTAACTTCAGAGTTAGAGGGGTCAACTCTGGAACTTTTATTAGGCCAGTAAAGCATTCCATGGAGGCATCTGCTCAAGCCCGACCCTTTAGCTGCCACCCACATCTCGCCACCCTCCCTGGTTGAGTCTTCAGAAAGGACTAGATTGTTTCTCCTCCTGTGAGAAATTCTTTGGTCCTCCTGCTTCAGCCCTCTTGAAAATAAACAACCGAGGCAGAACAAAGAGCCCTCCATGCTCCAAGAATCATTGAACAACTGTGTGGGGGCCTGGGCTCTGACCTTCTGCCTGGAAGATGGCTCAGGTCCCTCCCTACCCACCCCCATCCCATCTAAGTGCTCCAGTCAAGACAATCATCCAGCAGGGAGCCCACAGGACCATAAGCTGAGAGGGATCAGAGAGAAATATCTGCTCCAACACCCTACATCTTATAGAGGTGGAAATTGTCAACTGGGCGTAGCCCACCGCTTAGTTCTCCATTTTGTGAGAGTACCCCAGAGATTAATATGTTTATTTTCTATGAGTTAAGACAGAAGGAAACTTGCCCCAGGATCATATAGCAAGTAAATTTTAAGAGTGAGGCCTAGAACATGAAGCTATCCAGCTTGTTAAGAAGAGAGAGAGAGAGAGAGAGAGAGAGAGTGAGAGAGAGAGAGAGAGAGAGAGACCGCTAGGTGGCACAGTGGATAGAGCACCGGCCCTGAAGTCAGGAGGACCTGAGTTCAAATCCGGCCTCAGACCAAACACTTGACAAGTACTAGCTGTGTGACCTTGGGCAAGTCACTTAACACCAATTGCCTCACAAAAAAACAAAACAAAAAAGAACGAGAGAAGATGTATCCCATCTCCCCCCAGCAATTGTCCAATTGAAGAAACAGACCCAGAAATGGGACTTAGTAACAAAACCAGGGCCACAATTCAGGATTCAGTTAGAATTGGAAGGGCCTTACAAATCATTCCATTCCATTCAAGAAACACTAATTAAGCGCCCTGATAAGCTCTGCCAGGGATAAAACAGGGTCCCTGTCCCCCTGGAGATCAGACTAGGAGGGAGATATGGCAAACAACTCTATTATACAGTAAGTGGATTAGAGAGATGTGAACAAAGGGCTATGTTCAGAAAGGGGACTCTGGAGAGGCTACGTGGAGGCAGCATCTGCATTGGGCTTTAAAGAATGGCTAGAACAGATGGAAGGAATTCAGGGAATGTCCATTGTTTCATATAAATAACATGCTCACAAGCGCTGATGGAGGTGGGAAGAGACATGAGCAGTGCTAGCTCAGGACGGAGTTCAGGAGGCCAAGAGAGCAGTCCAGTCTGGCTGGCGCCCTGAGGGGAATCATGTGAGATAATGCTGGAAGAAGATTATCTCCTCTAACCCACTCAGTTTCCAGAAAAGGAAACTGAGGTCCCCAAGGGATAACTGACATAGAAGCCCTAGACAAGCCCTCCACTGCCCAAGGGCCAGAGCCTTGGGAAGGAAAATGGCAGGGGCTGGATGGAAAGCTTCCTGAACTGCCCTTCTTTGCACCCCAGTGTCCACATCTGTAAAGTGTATCCTTCCAACTACAGTTCACAAACATAAATTCCAGGCAAAGAGAATCTAGCTAGGCACATCTGACCTGAGTCAGAGACTCAGTTTCACTGTGGAGCAATGGAAACTTCTGGATTTGGAATCAGAGGACCAAGATTAGATTCCTGGCTCTGTGGCTTACTGCTGTGTGATCCGGGGCAAGTCACTTAACCTCTGCCTCAGTTTTCTCATCTGTGAAATAATGAGGGTGGATTAGATGATCTCTGAGGTCCATTCCAGATGTAATAGGCAGGTGGGGATAGCTTGCTGGACCTGGAGCCAGGCCTCAGACACTAGCTGCCTGATCCTAGGCAAGTCACTTAACCTCTGCCTCAGTTTCCTCTTTTGAAAAGTGGGGATAATAACACCTACCTCTCAGGATGATTGTGAGGATAAAATATTTGCAAAGTGCTTTGCAAATTTTAAAACACCATATAAATGCTAAATGTCATAAATAAGGTATTAAGTTTCTACTATGTGCTAGGCACTTGTACATACAGGGACAAATTGGGGACAAAAGAGAGGGAATAAAAGGACAAAAAATGAAAAGTCTTGTCTCATAGCAGGTCAGCCTGAGGGCCCAGCCATCAAAGGAAAGGAGCTGATAGGTGCCTAGCCTGTCTGCAGGTCCACAGCCCCACAGACGGCAGCAGGCCTGGGACCCCCCCAGGGTAGGGCTCAGGGAACCTTCTCCTTCCCTATGCCTATCCTCACTGCCCAGTTCCCACAAGGCATCGGCTTCTCTCTCCTAACTAGAAGCTCTCAGCCCTGGGGGGAGGTTACCCAGAAACCTGATTCCATACCTGGGGCCCCTCCCCTCTTCCCCAGTTGGGGATGAAACTGCTTACACCATTTGCTAAGGATAGTCTCAGCTTGGTGACTTACTAACTGTATGACCTCTCACAAGTCCCCTCTCCAAGGCTCGGTTTCCTCATTTGTGAAGTCTGCCAGGCTGGTCTAGAACAATAGTCACTCAGAAACAGCGGCCATTAAACCATACCTAAGGATCCCTGCTAGGCAATACTGACTTAGAAAACCACATATTAACATCGACTGTGTTCTATTGTATTTTTATTTTGTTAAATATTTAGACAGGTAGGTGAAGCAGTGAATAGCTAGGCCTGGAGTTAGGAAGACCAGGGTTCAAATCTGGCCTCAGACATTTACTAGCTGTTGACACAGGGCAAGTCACTAAACATGTCTGTCTGCCTCAGTTTCCTTATCTGGAGTCACCAACTGCAAACCTTTGGGTAAGATTCTATGGTCTTGGGTAAGTCTTGGGTAAGACCATCAGCACTAACCACCCACCCTGCTGCTACTGCTCCTCAAGACCCTTGGGCATTACCATCTGATCCCTTGTGGCACTCTAATGAGCTGGGACCTTTCCAACTGTCCTGAAGTGGGAATCTTCTGTAAATGCTTTTTTCATTCATTGTTATGAATACATATAAAATAAATATGAGGTAATGAGGGTGGGGGCATAAGAGAAGGGCTTCATGGAGAAGGTGGTGCTTGAGCTGAGAAACAAGGGATTCTAAAGAGCAGAGGTGAAGAGGTAGGAAGCATATCCCATGCATGAGGGATAGCCAGGGCAAAGGTATGGAGGTGGGAAACTAGTGTCCAGTGTGAGGAAGAGCAAGGTCAGGGCAGCTCAGGGAGCAGGAAAGTGAGTAAATAACACATAATAAGGCTGGAGAGGCAGGCCAGGGCCAGATTCCCAAGGGCTTTAAATGCCAAACAAAGAAGTCAATATCTGACCTGAGAGGTCATGGCAAACCACTGGTACTTACTGAACAGGGAGTGAAATCACTTTAGAAGCCCAGGATTAGATTGTAGAGACTTGAGGCAGGAAGGTGAACTAGGGACTACTGCGGGAGGCCAGGTGAGAGACGTGTTGCAGTGGATATAGCACAGGGCCTGGAGACAGGAAGACTCATCTTCATGAGTTCAAATCCAGCCTCAGACACTTCTTAGCTGTGTGACCGTGGGCAAGTCACTAACTCTGCCTCAGTTTCCTCATCTGGAAAATGAGCTGGAGACGGAAATGGCAAAACTACTCCAGTATCTTTGTCAAGAAAATCCCAAATGGGGTCAGGAAAAGTCATACACGACTGAACAAGGCAAGAGAGATGAGGAGGGCTTGAATGATGAGTGGCAGTGAGAGCAGAAAGGAGACAAAGGCTGGTGGAAGCAGAAACAACGGGAATTGGGAGGTGTGGAATGAGGGAATTACTCGATATTTATTTTGTATACCCATGAATGAATGCATACATAAGTGAATGAATGCATGCATAAGTGAGTGAATGAATGAATGAATGAATGAGCATTCGTGCTATCAGCCTCGGAATGTCCTTTGCAGCTCCAGCATCCCAAGGGCTCCCTGGCGCCTGCACCCCTGTCCTGCAGGGGGCGCTGCTAGCTAGACAACCCACGTCCGCTCCTCAGAGGACTGCCCGTCAGGATGTGACGTATCCTCAGAGGGCTCCCGTCAGGATGTGACGTTAAAGGAGGACGGCAAGTCAGGCCCCGCCACTCCTTCGGCCTGATCCAATATGGCTGTCGCGGCCTCTGCTTCCCTAGTGAACCAGGACCTATCCGGAAAATCCAAGGTGCCTCTTTGAAGTGGAGGAGAAAAGGGCACTAGGGCCTGAAGGCCGACGCTGCGGCCATAATAGCCGAATACAGGCGGAAGGGGCGGTTCTAGCTGGAGCTAACCACCAGGGCGTGGTGAGTGGTAAATGAGCCTCGCCTCGTTACGTCACATCCGCCCACAACTAACAGCTGATACCCTCCAATCAGAGGCCGAGCTCGCCCTCCCTCCTTCCTCTCGTGAGAACGTGCAGGTCGTGCCTGTCGAGGGGAAGTCCCTCCTCGCGCGGTTACGTCACAGACGCCATGTCTAGCTACCCGTACGGGCAGGTGAGTGATTGAGGGAGCGGTGAAGCGATCAGGGGACGGCCTGGGAGGGGTCGGGCCTGGGGGTTGGGCCCCGGCTCGGGGGTCTGTCCTGGGCCTACGCCAGCTGGGGACAGAGACCGGGAAGCCGGAGCGTCGCGGAGGCAGCAAAGTCTCACCCGGTGCCTCTGTTGAGGGCGGTTTCCACCCGAGCCTCGCACACCCCCCCTCCCCCGGGCCATGAGCAAACGAGGCATGCGTGAGAGCGCCTGCGCCGTGCCTCAGTGGCCCCCTCTGTACCATGATAGGAACTCCGTGGCCCCTGGTCGCGCCGACATCCTGTGTTCTAGGGCCTAGCCGGCTCAGACATTCGGTTTTCTAGGGTTCCTTCCCCTTCTGACATTACATGTTCTAAGGGCCGTCCGCCCCCTGGCATTCTGTGTTCTAGGTGCCTTCCCAGCTCTGACATGTCTTGTTCTAAGCGCTCTCCCTACTCAGACATTCTGTGTTCTAGGGACCCTTTCCCCTTCTGACATTCTGTGTTATAAGTGCCTTTTTAGCTCTGACATGTTCTGTTCTAGGGTCCCTCCCACTTCTTGACTTGGTGTTCTAAGGCCTTCCTAGCTCTGACATTCTCTGTTCCAAGGCCCTCTTAGCTCTGACATCCTATGTTCTAAGGCCCCTCCCAGCTTTGATATCCCTGGTTCTGAGGCACCTCCCAGCTCTGACATCCTGTGTTCTAAGACCCTCCCAGCTCTGATATTCTGTTTTAAGGCCCTTGCAGTTCTGACATTCTGTGCTTTAAGGTCGCTTCTAGCTCTGACCTCACAAGGCTGTTAGGAACAGGAGAGATAACAGGTTCTTAGAATGAATCTACATTTGACCTTTATTATTTGTGGAATAGTAAGCAAATCACATAACTTCCCTGGGTCTCTGTTTTTTCCTGTCTTAAAAGAAGTCAGAATAGATAGATGGTCTCTCTTTTAACACTAGATGTATGATTCTAAAATCACTTCCCAACCCTGAGGCAGTTTTCCCCCCTGGAACCCTAGTCATAGAACCATGGAATGTTAGGTCTCTATGAGGAGTGGGGAACCTGTGGCCTCGAGTTAACATGTGGTCTTCAAGGTCCTTGGGTACAGACTTTTAACTGAGTCCAAGTTTTACAGTACAAATCCTTTTATTAAGGAGATTTGTTCTGTGAAGTCTGGATTCAGTCAGAGGGCTGCACTTGAGGACCTATAGGGCCACATGTAGCCTTGAAGCTGAAAGTTCCCCACCCCTATTACAGACCATCTAGTCCTTCTCTCTCACTTCACTGAAGAAGAAATTGGGACCTGGAAACATTAAGGGACTTGTCCAAGTGAGTTAATAGCAGAAACAAAACTAGAACTTCTCATGACCCTCCAGGCCAAGGTGAGACTCTTCTACTAATGATAATCATTCACATTTATATGGAATTGTGTTTCTTCACAGTAGTCCTGTGAGGTAGGTAATGATGATGATAATAATAAAATAACAATAATAGTAATAATACCTGACACTTATAAAGTTATCTTAAAAGTCTCTATTCCCATAATTTCTCTTGATCTTCACAATAGGTTTGTGAATAGGTTTAATTATCACTATTCCTATTTTACATATGAAGAAACTGAGGCTCAGAGGATTTAAGTAAAAGTTAAACTTAGATTTAAATAAATAGACCAGATAGATTTAGCAGCTAGACGGGGCCTTATGATCATGTTGTCCATATTTCAAGAGTTCTATGCATTTGGAGGGGGGAAAAAAATCACATCTTTATTTCAACAGAATTGGTTTTTAAATTATCCTTTGTAATCCTGTGTATTTTATTTTATGCATTTAAAAACTTTAGGCGGCTTCATTTGTCTGCCAAAGGAGTTCATGACACGAAAAGGTTAAGAACCCTAGATGTCATCCAAAAACTCCTTAGTTTATTGATAAGGGAACTGAGACCCTGGAAGGGGGTGACCCCTTGGTCACAGAGCTATCAAGTAGTAAAGCTGAGCTTCAGATCCAACATTCCTTGTCCATCACAAGGTGCCTGAGCCCATCATATTATCCTCTAACCAGGCCTATCATTGTCCCTTTTTTCATTTTCACCTTGGTATGATACAAAGAGTAGGGTAAGAGCAGCTCCTGCCCATGAGAAACTTCGATCTAGTGAAGACGGCATGCCAACTCAAGAAATAGCCGGAGAAGAGGAGTTTGTGTAATTTAGTGCTTATCTAGAGATGGACACCATGCATTGTCATCCAGCCTTTCACAATGTCCTTGGTTCTGTGGAGGCCCCACTGTCCCACCCAGGCTTATAACTTCAGAGTCTTCCTTTCTCTTCTCCCTTCTAGTCCTCAGAGCTGATCAGTTGTCAGGACATGTTACTTAGGCCTCCACACCTCTCACATCCATTGCTTTTCCAGGCACTTGTCTGCTGCCCTAGTTCAGGCACCCATGGCCTCTCATCTGGACTGTTTGATGTCGTTCAGGCCACATTTGGTCTCCTTGCTTCTTGTCTCTGTCCAATCCATTTTTCACACCACTACCAGTATCTAGATAACCTTCCTTTTTACCGTATCATTGCGTTGCTCAAGGTTCCCATTACCTCCAGAATTAAATACAACCCCCTTTGCTCAAAGGCTCCATTTCTTTCCATCATTATCTCCTACTGTTCCCCACACGGACGGGGTCCTAGCAAGATTGAACTAATAGCTATTCCCAGAGCTCATTCTCCGATCTCTATGCATTTAAACAAGATGTTCCATTACTGGAAGGCACTTCTCACTTTTGCCATTGAGGCTCAACTTTGATACCACCTCTTCCATGAATCTTTCCCTGGTTCCCCAGTTAGTCACATTTTAGTGACTTAGTCACCCAGCCTTAATTTTCCTTATTATAGTTAGTGTTTGTGTAGTGTTTTAAAGTTTGCAAAGCACTTTACACATATGATCTCCTTTGATCCTCACAACCTTGTGAAGTAGATGCTGCTATGATCCCCATTTTATAGTTAAGGAAACTGAGACAGGCAGAGTGAAATGACTTGGCCGAGGTCACACAGTGCTGTGTCCAAGGCCTCCAGAACCAGCCTCTCTCCAGCTGTTTTATACACTGTGTCTGTCTGTGTGGCAGAGGTGCTTTGTCCCCTTCTTCCCACCCCCACATGCTGTAGGGATGGTATCTTCAGCACTTATCAGGGCATCTTGAGCATAATAAGGGCTTGATAAGTATGTGTTAAATTGCCCAGAATGGGAAGTTGAAGGAGATTCTTTTATTCTTGTCATTCAGCAAATGGTACCTCCATTAAGTGTTTGCTATATGCTACAGTTCAAATCATGAGCAAAGCCAAGGACAAGTCCTGTCTTCAAGGGGCTTCCTGTTCACTGGGGGAGACACATCTGGAAATTGGTCCATCTGAGACAGGAGGTAACCTGAGAAGAAGCAGCAGAGTCTGGGGAGAAGCCTCAGGACCAGTGCAGATGTGTAGACATAGAACGTGTACATGGGGGTGGCCTCAGGCAAAACACAGTTAACAAACAAGGGCTAAGGTCTAAGGTCAAACTCAGTTCACCTTCTGTTCAGGAGCTTCTATTCTCAGTGCCTAGACCATGGCCTAATGGCAGGGGTGGGGAACCTGCTGCCTCAAGGCCACATGTGGCCCTCTAGGTCCTCAAGCGTGGCCCTTTGAATCCAAACTTCACAGAACAAATCCCCTTGGTAAAAGGATTTGTTCTGTAAAACGTGGACTCAGTCAAAAGGCCGCAGCCAAGGACCTCGAAGGCCACATGTGGCCTCAAAGCCACAAGTTCCCCACCCCTGGCTTAGTCTCTGTGTCATTGGGGCAGCCTGTCACAGAGGAAAGAACAAGATTTAGATTCAGAATCCTAGGATTGGAGAGGACCTTCAAGGCCATCTAGTCTACCTGACCAGACAAGCATGGAATAAATGTGGTGGTGAAGTGGTGAGCAGGGCTTCTCTTAAAGATAAGCTGAAGGTGGGGCTAGCTAGGTGGCGCAGTGGATGGATCACTAGCCCTGGATTCAGGAGGACCTGAGTTCAAACGTGACCTCAGACACACAACACTTACTAGCCGTGTGACCCTGGGCAAGTCACTTAACCCCATTGCCTAGCCAAAAAAAAGAAAAAAAAAGATAAGCTGAAGGAGACCTCTGCTGCCTCCTTAGAGTTGAATTAGAAGCCAAGGATGGGAGATTTGGGTCTGTCACCCATTTCCATCCATTATTCTTAGTTCAGTCTCCTGGGGCCTAGTAAACAAGATGAGTGTCTTTTTCACATGAGACAAAATGCTCTGGTGGAAAGGGCTAGATTTAGATTTAGCTTCAGGAGCCCTGAGCTTGAGCCTCCTGTTTCAGATAGATGTAACACACACATATGTCAGTTAACATCTCTGAGCCTCAGTTTCCTCACCTGTAAAAATGGCATTGATGTTATTTGCTTCATGTAGTGGGAGAAATGTATTTTGTAAACCCTGAAGTACTGTAGAAAGGTGAACTTTTATTGTTATTCAGAAGTGGCGAAATCATTGTAGCAGTGGTTTTAAATGCAGAGGGGAGTGGATGGACCTTGGTATAGGACAGGCTTGTCAGTTGGCACCCTGGCCAGAGGATGCTTCAGTCCTCTATTTACTCTTAAACCCCATCACAGCAGCACCTAAGTTCTCAGGCTGTCTTAAATAAGACATGTTTGATTTTGTCAGATTTGAATTCACCTTTTTCTTCCCCTTCTCTCCATCTGCCTGTGTCCACTATCCTTGGCCATTTCAAGTCTTTCTTGTTCCATAATCCCTGATATTTGAAAGACAGCAAGATGTAGTAGAATTAGCCCCTGGATATGGAGTCAAGAGACTAGAACTAGTTGTGTGACCAAAGGTGAGGACCTTCACCTCTCTGAATATCAGTTTCCTCATCTGTAAAGTGGGCATCATAAGTAATACTTCCCACCCCACCTCTCCTTGTGACATGGGGCGTACCACTGCCTCATGGAACTTTAGAATTCTCCTTTTTGTAAAAGGGGCTGTAAGAAGTATCCACCTTGCCTGCCTTACACAGACGTAAAGGTTGGGGGTGGGGGGGGGCGTACTTGTTAGGCAGGTGTGAGCATTATTAGGAAATTCCCTGAATTACCCTCAGAACTCAAAGCACTTATTGTCTGTACCTACATTGTGGCACTGTATTATAATTAGTTTAGGACTTGATCATTTATCAGCCTCTATTGTTGTCTGTGATCTGTGGCCACAGTCCAGCCTCCATAGGGCAGAGCACACTGCTTGGAGGTCATGTGTGGATTGGTAAAGGTCACTTTATGAATAGTTATTTAATTGAATTACTGCAAATTACCTGTGACCCCAGTTATATAGGGTGACTCTTTGTAGTGTGTAACCATGCTGGAGGGAGTTTCTGCACAAGCTGAATTATCTGAAAGGATCAGGAGAGTAGTGATATATTGACAACAGTGGTGAGGCCCAAGGGACAGAAGAAATTATTTTTCCCTGCTTCTCCCCGCCCCCACATCCTTTTTCTCCAAACCTCCTGGGCAGCCACACTCAAATGTTGTTTCACACCTCACTAAGTCTTGTTCCTGCCCTCCCTAGCCCTGCCTCCCAAGCAGAACACAGTGGGACTCTGGAGAATTTCAACCTCTTCTGCATACTCCTGGTAACTTTCCACTGATCTGGTGCTGTGGACCTGAAAAGTGGTGCAGATGTTAGAACTCCAGTAGTAGGGGAATCCCTTCTGGCTTGGAGGTGGAGGGAGGTGTATGGTATAGGGATTCTACTTTGGGAGTGGGAAAAGATCAGAGGCTCATAAAGGTCCTATAGTCCAAACCCCTCCATTTGAGGGCCCAGAGAATCTGTGCCTCACCTCAAGGTCACCCTCGGGCTCTCTTGCTCTTCGGTACTGCCTTACCACCATTGTACCTCAATAATAATAACAACCCCCACTTCTATAAAGAATTAAGGCCTAAAAGTTTTGATTATCCCCATTTTACAGATGTGAAAACAGGATCAGGAATGTAAAGTGACTTGCTCAATGCCACACAGTCAGTTTCCAGGGTGGAATTTGACCCCAAGGTCAACATGCTATCTTGTCTAGAGTAGAATAGGTACTTCCCAGCCCCCTGGTTATGGGTGTGGAGCAACCATAATAATTTAGTGGCTGCTGGAGTCACAGCCTCAGTCTTTTAGAAGTCTCAGGCTGGTGATTTAGGGAGCCCTGCCTTTTCTTTCACCCATTGAATTGCTCTTCTTAACTCTAGTACAATTGGCCATATAGTAATAGTTGACATGAATATAGTGTTTTAAGCTTTTCAGAGCACTTCAACCATACTGTCCTTTGATTCTCCCAATCACTCTGGTGTGGAAGTATTATTGTCCCTGTTTTACAGATGAGGAAACTGAGGTTGAGAGAGGATAAGTGATTTGCTAGGGTTAATGCAACTGACTAGTCTGAGATAGTATTCAAATCCAAGTCATCCTGACTCCTGGTACATGAGGCAAGATTTGAACACATATCTCATGGCTCTTATGTGCAGTGCTGTCATACCTTCAGGAGTATTATGCCTGTTTTACAGGTAAAATAAATTGAGACTCAGAGAGGCTAGTTGATTTTCCCATATCAAAGACTACAACCCAGTTGTGGTCTGATTCCAAATTGAAAATTTTTCCTATTCTGCCCTGTTGCTTCCTTATACAAAATTTGTCTCTTCCTTAGTTCCTAAAAGAGGGTGCTACACACAGAAGGTGTTTAATAAATGTTTGAATTAGATACACTAAGTGCAAAAGTACAATCCAAGTGCTATGAGAGATTTAACTCAATTCAACAACCATTTGTCAGTGGTTTACTATGAGATGACAATCCCTGTCTCAAGGAAGTTTGAATAAGGAGGGAAGGAATCACTTCCTGCCCCTGAGCCTTAGTGTCTGAGGTATATAGCCTATTAGCAATCCACTTTAGAGCCAAGGACAGGCTTTTCTCCGTTAGTTTTACCCATTAGCATTTGTGTGTTTTAAATACAGCAAAGTAAGAATTTGTTGTACCCAGAGAATGGAACTTAGCTAAACTTAAGGGTGTGTGGCCCAGTTTCAGGGAGCTGGCACTGGGCCCTGACTCTCTTCATAACCTTTGTTCCTTGACTTTCTTTTCAGTTGAATACTTCCTGGTTCAGTCCCCGGCCCCGGGCTCTTGTTGCACATTGAATTATGGCTGTGGTTGGACTCAGCCCCCAAAAAGCGGAAGAAGGCAGGTGTATATCCACCTCTGCTTATACCAGCTTTGACATCTTCAGTGGGAAAGAGCCATTCATTGCATTCATTCAACCACCTAGCCTGTGCAGGGCCCTCTCCTCAGGGTTCTCAGTGGGTTTATAATCTAAAAGGGAAAGAATGTATACAAATAACGATGATGTAAGGAGAAATGAATAAGTATAAAGGAGAGCTCTAGGATCTGGGGAAAGGGCCGAGAGAGACGACTTTCATTTGGTGGAATCAGGAAAGGCTTACTGGAAGAGCTAGTACCTGAGTCAGGCACTAAAGGAGACCTGGCTTTGAATACTGGCTCTGACTCTGGTCATGGGGAAGTCACACAACCTCCCAAACCTCAGCTTCATCCATTCTAAAATAAGAACAATACTACACTACCTCTTTCACAGGGGTGTTGGGTGGAAAGTGCTCCAAGGCCTTAAGCTCAGTGCAAATGGAATTTGCCCCTCTTCCCCAAGATGGTTCAGTGGCAAGTGTCAGACCACAAGCCTTCCCCTTTGTATGGCAGTGGTTTTTTTCATGGCTCCACACTGAGTGTTTCCTCAAGAAAAACAGAATCCTAGAATCTCAGAATTGGAAGGTATTTCAGAGGCCACCTACTCCAATCTGTTGCTGCCTGGAATCCTTTCTATAGCATGTCCCCAAAGTAGGCATCCCGCCTGCCCTCAAAGATGCCAAGTGATGGAGAACCTCCCGCCTAGGGCCCAGGCATTCTTAACCTTCTTTGTGAACTAGATCCCATTGGAAAGCCTGTGAACCCCTTTTGCAGAAAATGTTTTTAAATGCATAAAATGAAATACATAGGATTACAAAGAAATTCAGTTATATTGAAATAGTTATAAAAAATTTTTTTCTTAAACCAAGTTTATGGACCTAGGTTAAGAACTTTTGCTTTGGACATAGTTTCTTGTTTCACTTTGGGATTGCCCTAATTGTTAAGAAGTTCTCCTTACATCCAGCCTAAATCTGTCTTTGGGCAACTCCTACACATTACTTTTATTCTGTCCTTGGGGCCGAGAAGAACAAAACACGTCCCCCGTCCATATGGCAGTTATTGTGTCTCCACTGAATCTTCTCTTTCCCAAGTTGAACACCAGTTTCTTCAGTAGAACCTCATGTTTCACATTCTCCAGTCTTCTTACCAATCTGGTGTTCTGCTCTTTGGGGTGATCTGTAGCTTGTCAGTGCCCTCCCTAAAATGTGGCACCCTAACCATTTATTTACTCTTTGATGTCAAATTCAGTAAATGACAGAAGGGATCACTGCCTCCTCCAGGTGTTACTGATCACTGAGCTCCAGGGAGCAACCTCGAAAGAGCCCTGGTTTCAGCTTGCTTGGCACAGCCTTCAGTGATCCCTCCAGGATCACTCCCGGCCTTGCCCTGCCTTCTGTAAAGACCAGGAGTTGCTGGGAAGTCCCTTGAACCGGTGTGAGGGGGCTTCTTCCCAAATTTGTGTCCCTGTTCTTACTCTTGATATCTTTCTTTCTTTCCACAGGGCTACCCAGGAGCTGCTGGACAGGCCCCCGGAGCCCCACCAGGCAGTTATTACCCAGGACATCCGCAGTATGGAGGGGGGCTACCCCCTGGTGGGGGTTATGGAGGCCCAGCTCCTGGAGGTCCCTACAGGCCACCATCTGGTGGCGGGGCCTATGGACATCCCAGCCCTGGAGGGCACCCCTCATCTGCTCCTGGAGGACCCTATGGAGGCTCTGCCCCGGGAGGTCCCTATGGCCAGCCTGCTACAAATCCCTATAATACCCCTCAGCCAGGACCTTATGGGCAAGGCCCAGCAGCAGGTGAGTGGAAACTAACTTCCTCTGTCCGTCTCTACCTCTGCCTCTCTCTTCCTGAGCATAGCCGTTGTCCTCACTATGACTTTCAGTCCATTACCCCGGCTCTGGCCTCATTTTCTTTGCTTCACAGTCTTGACTCTGAAGTTAGTTCACCTGTATCTTCTCCTGCCCTGAATTCCCAGTCTCTTTACCCTGTTGTTGCTCATGCTTTACCAAGCCCCAGCCCTGGATTGCCCCACGACTTATCTCTGCTTCTGCTCGTGTGCTGCAGAATGCCACTGGGGGGAGCGACTCCGCTGGGCCCCCTGGGGCCACTACCCATTTAGGGGATCTGATTTCAATTGGGCCCTTACTGCTGCATGGAAGTCTTTTTATTTTCCCTGATTGACTATCGTACTCCCCAGTGTGGTTGTTCCAAACTTTTCCTTTTTTCCTCAAATTCTCTGTACCTTCTTCTGTTCCTCAGAACTTCTTTACATTCTCCATTCTCTCTTCCTTTGCTCCATCTCTGACACACAAATAGCCCTTTGTCACCCACCTTCAGTCTCCTCTTATATACTGGCTTCTTCCTTACTGCTTTCAGGTCTTACTGATATTCCCAGGTCTCCCTCATTCTAGCAAACCACCATTGCCTTGCTTGAGTCCAATATTTCCTCAAACTGTCCTACAGCTCGCTTTGTGAAGTCAGCCTCTTGAGAAAAGTTGTTTATGTACATTGGCTTCTCTTCTTCATGCCCAGCACCTCGTAGGGGCTTAATAAATGCTTGTTAATTGATCTGTCTTCTGATCCCACTACTCAGCTACTATTGGGCATCTCATAAGTGTTAAAGCCTTCTCTCAGGCCTCACCCTACTTGACCTTTCTACAGTTTTTGACTCTGTTAACTGCCCCTGCCCCCTTGGCTTCTGTGACATCATTCCCTTCAGTTCTCCTATCTGCCTGATCATCCTCTTTCTGTCTTTTGCTGAACCATCATCCATAGCCTCCCTTCTAAATGTATGTGTATCCCCCAAGGTCCTGTCCTTGTCCCTGTTTTCTCTCAAGGTGATTTCATCTTCTTAGCAAAGGGTGGGAATGGGTGTTGGGGAGGAATTCGGTTATCTCTATACAGGTAGATGATTTCTGTATGCATATGTCCAGCCTTATTCTCTCTCCTAAACTCCAGTCCCGCATCATCAACTGCCTGCTGGCCATCTTCCCCAATGTCCCATCACTATTTTAAGTTCAACACATCCAAAATGGAATTATTATCTTCCTCTCCAAACCTTCCCTCCTCCAGATTTCCCTTGTTCTGTTGAGGCTCCTGTTTTGTCGAAGCTGCCCAAGTTCACAGCCTTAGAGCCATATTAAACTGATTTTGGATGCCTTTTATTGTTGCGCTCATTGACATCATTAGGACTGTATTTCTTGTTCTCCTGGTCCTGCTTTCTTTATTCTGCATCAGTTCATGTAAGTCTTCTGTGTTTCTCTGAATTCCTTTTACGCATCATTTCTTAATGAGCAATAATATACCATTTATGGCCTTATATCATACTTTGTTCAGCCATTTTCCGATTAGTTTATTTCCAGGTTTTTGTGCTTCTATAAATAATGTGGTATATCTGGCTTACTTTTCTTTTGATTGGATCCCTTTTCAGGATCTTCCCAGTGGTGAGATTGCAGGGCACAAGGGTGTAAATAGTTTAGTCACATTACTCACTGAATTCCAAATTGTCTTCTAGAACATTTGGCCCAGTCTAGCCACAGCTCTCCCATCCTAGTATTATTAGTCTCCCTCTCTTCCTAGAGCCCCTCCAACATGGGCTAGTTCTAACTTTTTTCATCTTTGGAAATTGAGAAAGAAACCTTTGAGATGTTTTCATTTACATTTTGCACGTTATTAGTGATTTGGAGCATTTTAAATATGTTTGTTAATGGTTTGCATTTCTTCTTTTGGAAACTTTGTGGACTTAGCAGACCCAGGTGCCTTGTTCCTGGCCTGGCCACCATGGATGCAGCGGTGGATGCTGATCACTCAAATTCAGAAGGGTTTGGCAGGCATTTAATATCAGGCCCTGGCCTCCTGTTCCCCTCAGGTAACCTACTCACTTGAGAGGCTGGGATAAGTGAGAAGAAAAAGGACTTTTTAAAGAATGCCCCCTGACTTGATAACAGACCCCAAGCATCATTCCCAGTTTGCCCTGTGAATACTGACCTTGTATTTTTGTGCTTGGTTGCTGATGAGCTTAGGATGCGCTGATGAGCTTAGGATGCACTAATGGCTTAGAAAGCATCTCTTCGGTTCTCCTAGATAAAACAGCTGGTTCTGTGACCATTCACATGACCCCCTCCTGCAGAAAGTCAACAGGAAGCCTCTCATTCAGCTCCATTCAGTGAGCATTCGTCTATAAGACTGTCTTTGAGTACAGCCTCTGCAGGGTTGCGTGGGTCTCATCTTGAAGCTGGCCGTCCTCTCCAGCAACACAGGTTGTGAAGAGATTTAAGGCCTTTCTGGGCTACATTGAAAAACAGAATCTAAGGGGCAGCTAGGTGGCGCAGTGGATAGAGCACCAGCCCTGAAGTCAGAAGGACCTGAGTTCAAATCTGGCCTCAGATCAAACACTTGACACGTACTGTGTGACCTTGGGCAAGTCACTTAACCCTGATTACCTCACTTAAAAAAAAAAAAAACTGAATCTAGTGTCTCAAACCAACCTTTTAATCTCTCCATTTCCTGTTGATTGGCTCAGAAGGGTGGGCATCGCTGACTGTAGGTGGTTGATCTGATCTGTGCAGTCATCAGAACTGGCTTTAAGCCCCAGCTTGCAGAGTTAAGCCAACAGATTCCTGTACCTGGCTGACAACAAGCCAGACTGCACCTAGTTGCCTTGATCAGTGTATGGATGGGATATTAGTGATTCGAGCAGTGGCTGGAGATTGTGGCATTTAGTGGTTATGAATGATGTAAGGCAAAGGTGTCAGAACTACATACAACCTGTGGACCTGCAACAGTCTGGAGTACTGCCCGAACCAAATTAAAATGGAATTGGGAAATATTTAACAAATGAGAATACAATAAAACATAGATAATATCACATTTTAAAACTAAGTCACTGTGTAGTCTACAGGGATCTTTATGTACAGATCAGTGGCTTCTTTCTATTTGAGTTTGATCCCACTGATGTAAGGAATTCTGTGGGTCCCATGTTCTCATTTAGAAGGGTAATCCACCACAGTGCAGCAGCGGCTAAGCTGAGCCTGTGGAATTACCCAGACTTGGGTAATAGCAACAAATTACTGGTCAAGAGTTCTCTTATATGTGCTTGCTTTCAGATGCCTGAGGGGCTTAGCAGGGCAGCTGTCATGATGGCTGTGTTAACTTCAGCTTTCCTTTGTTGGATCCACAGAGGGGGCCAGAGAGCAGGAGACGTGCCCAAATGGGTCATCGAAATCCTGTGTGGATATTAGAATCACAGTTATTAGTGGCTCATCACTTAGAGAAAAAAAATTCCCTTGACCTCTTACATATTAGGAAATGCCTCTTAGTGTTGTACATTTGTATCAGTTCTATATATATTATATATCTTGGATGTCAAACTTTTATCAGATATTTGATGCCAGGATTTTTTACCTAATCAGCATCTCATTTTGGTTGCAATGATTTTGTGCAAAAGCTTTTTAATATTATAGAGTTGAACTTTTCTGTTTTGCCTTTTATGATCTCTTCTATCTCTTGTTTCGTTCTGAATTCCTCCCCAACTGTAGTTGCGAAAGGCACCCACTTCCTGTTGCTTCTGTTTTTTTATCATGTGGCCTTTTATGGATAAGTCATTTATCCATTTGGAGCTGATTATGGCATGTAATATGAGATGCTGATCTGATTGGGTTTTCTGCCAGCCTGCTTCCAGCCATCCCAGCAATTCTTGTCACATAGAGACTATTCCCTTCTTGATTTATTGAACGTTAGGCTACTTTCTTTGTTTATTTCTTTCTAAGTCTTGCTTTCCTAGTTTGTTTCACTGATCTACCTTTCAGCCAGGACCAAATAGTTTGATGGCTGCTGTTTTCTAATATAGTTTGCAATTTGGTAATGTAGACTCCTTTTGTTCCTGTCTTCTTTTCATTATTTTCCTTGAAATTCTTAACCTTTTATTCTTCCAAATGAGTTTTGCCATTGTCTTGTCCAGTTCTGTAAAGTGACCCCTCATTAGTTGGGGTCACATGTTGATTGACATGTGAGCAGCTTGATCCCTGACCCTCCAGAACTTTATCCTTTAGTCTGAGTCTTAGTTTTTACATCCCCACTTTGGGGATCAGCCTTACCTGGTCTTGTTTCCTAGGGCTGTATCATGGGAGCAAATGGCGTGATTGATACTAGAGAGCAGGATTAGCCTTTAATTCTGCTGGGGTAGTTTGGAGACCCTTAAAGCCAAGAGATACAGCAAGGGAGCAGAGAGGGAAGAGAAGACAGAAAACAGCCTGCGGGGGTGAGAGAGCGAAGAGAGGGGAAGGGTAGGACGATGACTGAAGGAACTGTAAAAGCAGAGAAACCTTGGATTGTGAGGCTGGAGGGAGAAGTTGGGCACATCCATTCCGAGTGTCAGAGGGCCCACTCTGTGCCTCCATCAGCACTGCCATGGCCTGCCTGATCCATGGACGCCAAGCTACAGGCTTGGCAGTTTGGGGCATATTCAGGCACCTTCTTGAAGGTCCCCACAGGAATGGTGTGGCTGGAAAAGCAAAAAAAAAAATCTTTGAGTCCGTCTCTGCACATGGGCTATTCTCAGGAGAGAGGCTCAGACTCCCGGCAGCCCTGGGTTTGCTGAGCCAGCAGCTTTATCATGCTGAAGCCCTTAACTCATCCAGCATCAGACTGCATTTTATTTTTCCTCTTTTCTACTCACCCTAAGCCTAGACAAAGCCTCCAGTGTAATCACCGGGGCCACTCATTCATCCCCAGCGTGGTCCTACCTGGGCATTTTGGCCTCAGTTTCTTTCTCTGTAAAGTGAGTGGACAGTATCATATACTCTCTAAGGTTTCTTCCAGCCCTGACATTGTATATTACAAAGCCCCTCCCAGCTCTGACCTTTGGTGTTCTGAGGTCATTTTCAGCTCTGATAGTGTTCCAAGATTCTTTCCATCCCTGCTATTCAGACAATCTATGATTCTTCAGGAGTAACCTCAAGTAGAGAGCTTCTATTATGTAGGCCATACACAGAATAGCAGTTTTCCCCACTCCTTTTGTTGTTCACTGTGCCACCCTCCTCATCTGTCCAGTTTCCTTTCCCCCTATTTTTCTACCCTCCCCCCCAATACTCCTCCTCCATAGTTGGTATATTAAGGCATTAGCTGAATTTTTCTTGAATCTCCTAGAACTCCATATCTATGGAAGCCTGATGTTTCCTCAGTTAAGTGTGGATAGACAAACCTCCTTGCCTCAATACCCTATCTCTCCTCCATTTCTTCTTTTGTGATAATTCAGACCTTCCCCTCCCCAGCCCCAAGTGACATTGTCCTTCAGCATCTCATCATGGTGTGGAGGTAATTGGCCTCTTGGAGGCCAGTAGAGTGTGAACTCTGGCAGAGCCCACTACACTGGAAAGCCCCCAAGTATTGGCCTCTGGATGGAATCTGTGTCCTGTGAGGCCCAGCCTATCTGAGTGTCCAGAGGCTCTTCCTCAGGGTGTAGTTCACAAAGTAAGGAAGTTTTTCAGCTGCAGTAACTAATGAAACTTCATACTCGGGCATAAGAGGCATTTGGGGTTGTATGTGTAGAAGAGAGTGCCCACTCCAGTGGAATCGTTGGCTCTCCGAGTGATAATTCATACGCAGCTGAGCCTTTGTGAATAAAAAGTTCAAAATAAATGGCAACATGGAACTTTTAATTTGTATGTATTGTTATATAATGTAGACTATTATTATATTTTTATTAACTCATGCTTACAAATCTATAGGCTTAACTTCTCCCTAAAAGAAGATAGACTTTCCTTATATTTTCACCCTCTTCTCTTCAAGATGTGAGCCTTCTTCCCTGACTCTCCTCCTCGCTCCTTCATTAAAAGGTCACTCAGGTTTTGAGAAGTTTAGTGACCTTCCCAAGAGGTCAAACCTCTTCACTCCACGTCTGTGCTATTTTAACTATACCACATCTCAGTCGATCAATACACATTTATGAAGCTTCTGCTCTATGCCAGTCCTTGTGCTTGGTGTTAGAGGGATGAAAAGTGAAGCAGTCACTACTGTCAAGGAGCTTAGACTCTGTTGGTGTGTGATCTTTCTCCTACAAATCCAAGGGGAGATACATTATCCTTTAAAATTCAACCCCTCCTTGCCTGGCCCTAGGGATTGAAATCAGAGGTTTGACCCAGGCTCCACAATCTGCTTGCTCTCCCAGGCACCATTCCTCCTGGTGTAGACCCCGAAGCCTACTCCTGGTTCCAGACAGTGGATTCAGATCACAGTGGCTACATCTCTGTGAAGGAGCTCAAGCAGGCTTTGGTCAACTCCAATTGGTCTACATTCAATGATGAAACCTGCCTCATGATGATAAGTAAGTCGTGTCCCTTTCCCCTATTCTACTCTTTCTCTTTCTGCTCCCTGAAGGGCAAACCAGTGAAATCCCCCACAGCCAGGGACCCTGAGACAGGGAGGAAGTTAGGAGGGAGGCAGCTGTGCTTTCAGCTTGAAAAACTGGCTGGTCGTTTGTCCAGCTCCCTAAAGGGGAAAGGCTGACTTCGCTGGGAAATAGCCACACCTGGTGGATGGAGACCTGACATTGGAGCCAGGAAGGACTGTAGGGTTTGAGTGGTTCCATTGTGGCCCTCCCAGCTGAGTCCTGTGTAAAACATGGGGGCTTCTTCTCACTCCAGGCACTGGGTTGAGTAGAAGGGGCATTGGGCTCAGGGATTCAGATAAGAGACCTTACTTTGAATTCCAGATCAGAGGTGACCCTAGAAAAGTCATTTTTCATTTCTGAGGCTCTGCTCTTGTGTTCCTCCCTCTAAGAGAGTTGACTTAGGTGAAGCGATACAGACACAGCAACTCTTAACTATTCTAGAAACTCCAACAAGTTAGTGGTAGAAATGGAGGCACCTGGGAAACCACCCAGAGAACCTAAAGCCAGGAGGTATGGGTCCATATCTGTGCCCTTTCCCGTGTTGAATGGAGACGTGGTAAGTTCCCAGGGCCTAGCAGGCCAGATGCCTGGGGCCCTTGGTTTGCAGTGCTCACAGCCTCTTTGCCCTCAATCCCTCCCTTTCAGACATGTTTGACAAGACCAAAACAGGCCGGATCGACCTCTTTGGCTTCTCTGCCTTGTGGACCTTCATCCAGCAGTGGAAGAACCTCTTCCAGCAATATGACCGGGACCACTCAGGCTCCATCAGCTACAGTGAGCTGCAGCAAGGTGAGCTGGCCTCTGAGGCCTGGCCCCCGCCTCCTTTCCTGGGGGTCAGATGCCCCATGACCCCTTGGCACCTGTTGTGTTCCCATCTTAGCTGCAACAACATTCAGGGTGCAAACCTAGCATAGAATGATGCCAAAGGCTGGGCTGGGAGAAAATAGTACCAGTCAACCTACAGCCAGACCAAGAAGTTTGAGCTCCCAGATTCCATCCAACTCCCCTGGCCTTTGCTGGGTGGTTTAGCCTAAGCCTCAGGGAGTTGGGAGCAGGTCCAGTCAAAATGGGGGCAAGGTCTCATGTGACACTGCCCCATCAAGAAGGAAGATTGGGGGAAGTATTTGCCTTTCACTACTCCCCCACCCCACCCCAGTTCTTCCCACATAGGCATGGTCACAAGGGGCAGAGGCTGCAACTCAACCTCATGCTGTTAATGCAGCAAAGAGGAAATGGTCTTGGGGTTATTTACTGCATTAATTTGGTAAGAATTGGACAGCAAGCTCTTGGTTACCTGGGATGGTAATCCCAGGTAATAAATGCTGTACTACCTCCTTATAGTCACTGATTTCAACCCCTGATAAGTAACCTGATCAGCAGGCTTGAGTTTCCTTTCTTTCTAACCATTGGGAGGAAAAGAAGTTGGGGCCTAACTAGCTGATAAATTGGATGAAGGCGTGATCTCAGGTGTCACAGGGCTAAGGGGGCCTGGTGAGGTTCGGAGAAAGCTCCCTGAACCTGGGGCTGCTCCCCAGACGTGGTCATGACCTTTAGGGCTTAGTGTCTCCCCCAGCCTCCCCCGTCACTGGGGGAGGAGTATGTCTGAGGACAGTTCAGTTCAGGGCAACAGCTTAGGCCCCGTGTGCCCAGCTCTGTGTGCTAGGTGATGTGTGGGATATTAGAGGAGGACTGCAGGATTTAGAGCTGCAAGGGACCGTAGAATCTGTCTGACATTCCTCATTTTACAGATGAGGAAACTGGGATCCAGAGAAGTGAGTTGCTCATGGTTGCTCAGTAAATTATTGCCTGAGGTGGGACTCCAGCCCCAAATCTGTGTGCTCTTGCTACTGTACCACAGTGCCCTTTGTGAAAGGGCAGAGAGCTTGCAGTCTTGTTGGGTGCCCCACTTCCTCTGTCTGAGCCTCAATTTCTCCCTGTTTAAATTGAGACGTTGGCCTCGCTGCTTTTTATGTCTGTCTAGTGAGCCTCTCAGTAACAGCCCAGCTCCTGCCATCGTGCCTGCCCTCATCAGGTGTCATGGGAGCTTGGGGATGCGGGTGAGCATCTTGAAGGAGGTGGAATGTGGGCTCCTTTGGGTAGAGGGCGGACTGGAAAGAGTCGTGGAGATAACACTCCGGCTCCCTGCCACTTAGTACCTTGGTGACTCTAGACAGCTCTTTCCCCCTGTCTACCTCATCTTCCCCTTCTGTGAAATGAGGGGATTGAACTTAGTGATCTCTTTGGTCCCTGCAAGCGAGAGAGCTCTGATCCTGTGATTGGCAGGACAGATTCTGTTCTGCCTGGATTGGATTGGGCAAGTTCTGGGGCCTCCCCTTCTGTTCCGTTGTGTGCTGACCATGAGTGAGCCCTTGCTACTCTTCGTGGACACCAGTGGAGCCAAACTTCCATGGGATAAGGCGGTTCTGGCCCAGCCTGGGTGTTTGTCCTTCTTTTCAGCTCTGTCCCAGATGGGCTACAACCTGAGCCCGCAGTTCACCCAGCTCCTGCTCTCCCGGTACTGCCCTCGTTCTGCCAACCCTGCCATGCAGCTGGACCGCTTCATCCAGGTGTGCACCCAGTTGCAGGTGCTGACCGAGGCCTTCCGGGAGAAGGACACAAGCATGCAGGGCAATGTCCGGCTCAGCTTTGAGGAGTTCCTCATCATGACAGCCTCCCGGATGTTGTGACTTCAACACAATGCACGAGTTCTCCTTAGGGGCAGAGCCAAAGGGGATGCCTAGCCTCGGAGATCCAGGGACCTTGAAGAACCTTCCCCTGCCTCCCTAAACTGGAAACAGTGAAGGGGTTTCTTCCCTGTCCTCTCCCTGCTCTCACCACTGCCCCCAAAAGAAAGTAGAGCTTCCCTTTCTTTGAGTGGTAACATTCCCAGAAAGGAGTCTTAGAACCTGATCGTGACTGCTATGCTGTGACCATGGGAGGAGTGACCAGCCCTGTTGGCCCTAGGACCTAGGCCCTAGAGCAAGCAGGATGGAGACCGCACAGTTGTGGCCATACTTACCAGTGTGCAGCCGGAAAGAGGAGGCTCAGCCCCTTTGGCTCAAGATTCCAAGCAACTTGGTCAGCTTAGGCCTTTGTATCCAGGCAGGTCTTGTGGCCTTTCCTGATGGCTTACGTCAGCGCTAGCTCATCTCTTAACCACCGTATATATTCTCCTCATTTCGTTATGTGTCATTTTATATTAGACAGACTTGAGTTTTCTGAAGATGAAACAGAGACCAGGGTAGGGCATTTCTCATTGAACCCCCTGCTGCCTGGCCCCGTGCTATGCCCATTGCTGCTCAGGTGTTCAGGGGCAGCTGTTGCCTGCTGTTGCCAATGCATCTCTATGTTGTTTTCAGTCTGTACGGGCCAAAAGTCCAGCACATCATGAGCTTCAATAAAGGGGTGCTACCTCACAAGCGCATCATCTCTCTTGTCCTCATTTTGTTACCCCCCACCAGCAGCAGCAAATAGACAGGGGCTCTCTGACCATTCAAGGAAAAGGAGCTGACAGGTGTGGCCCATTGGCCATCGGGCTCAGGCCTCCACTGAGCCAAATGGTCTCTGTGACCTCCCTGCAAGTAAGAATCAGAGGATTCTATCCCCGAAATCTGAGCACAGTGCCCTGTGCACTGGATCGACCATCCTTCCTCCCACTCTGGGCAGCTTTTTGTCAGGGTGTTTTTCCTAACGTTGAACTTGACTATGAACTCTTTGGAATTATAAAACATTCCATCAGTGCCTGTGCTTTGTTGTTGGAGGAACCCCTCATTGTTACCTTCTTTCCTTCCATTGAGCTGGGATCTCTTCCTCCCTTCCCCCTTGTTCTGATTCTGCTGTCTGGCGCCAAGCCGAACAGGCCTAATCCCCCTTCCACATGATAGCCCCTCACATGCTTGGACATCAATCCCATCCCCAAAACCTTGTTCAGACCTAGCAGCACAGCTGGTGCAGCCCCCGCTGGTGAAGCCACACACGTGGGCTTGTTCCCTGCGCAGGTTTGTCCCCTTCCCTTGCCCAGCCAAGTTGACAGCCCCGTGTACCCAGAGGAATAGTGGGTAGCCCAGGGCTGGCCATCCTTCCCCTGGAGAGGACTCCACACAGGCCCTGGCAGTTGAGATTATGCTCATACATAGTGAGCAGTGTTTTGGAGTGGGCCCATTTGAATCAATTTCCCACTGCTTGGGATTTGTGCTTTCTACTAAGCTACAGTCATGCTGGGAGTCTGGCTCCCCTGGAAGAAGGGTTGTCATGGGAAAGAAAGCAGCATCAGAATTGTTCTGCTCGACTCCAGAGGGCAAAACTAGCACTGGGTGATGGGGGGCTATTACTAGACACAGATTGAGACTCAAATGTAAGAGAAAATTTCCTAAACACCATGCAAAAATGTAGTGGGCTGTCTCACCCATTAATTCTGGCAACGAGTGGCCCAGACCCAAGTACAAATCCAGCCTCAGACCCTAGTTGTGTGACTCTGGAAAGGTGACTTAACCTCTGTCTACCTTGGATTCCTCAACTGTAAAAAAAGAGGATAATAACACTCACCTCCCAGAGTTGTCATGAGGATCAAATGAGGTGGTGTTTGTAAAGCGTTGAACACGGGGCCTGGCACACAGTAAGCTTGTTTGCCTGCCTGGGCTCTGTGTCACTGGACCTATTGGAGTGGAGCCTCTGTAACCACTTGTAGGAGCTATGGCAGCAACTCCATGGGCCCTCCTGCCTGATCCTGTGCCTGGGGGAGCTGGGCAACACCCTGGCAGTGAGCAGTGAATCTGACTGTCCTCATTAAAGCAGTTGCACCTGAGTAGAAACAGAGGTCAGAGGCAAATGCTGCAGTCCCATTAATAAAGCTGAGTGGACACAGTGGTCAGGGCTAGAGCGTCTTGTTCAGCCAGATGTCCAGTGTTCTCCTTGGCAGAGCTCAGCTCCAGAGAGGACAGCTCTTTCTTTGCCTTTGTAAGGGAGCGTGCTAGACTATTTTCTCCTTAACCTACCCAGTAGACATGAGGAGTCTGGGTGGGCCCAGCCCATGGGCACAGAAAGGAGGCCTTTTTGTGGATGGGTGGCTTACCCCACTACTAGTCAATCTGAGCCTGTCAGGGACAAAGCTTCCTGGCCAGTGAGCAGAGACAGGTACATGGTCGCTAGAGGTGCCAGCCAGGTCACTTTTCTGGAGGCTGTTATTTCCACAGCTCATAGACACAGTAGCCAACCATATGGCTTGGCCGTCAGAGCTGGCAGGTGGATGCTGCAGCTTGGTCGAGACAAGGCAGTGGCCAGTTTGGATCACGGGCTGCCAGGAGCTAGGACCAAGCCAAGGCCACGATTCCTGTCCTGCCCCTAACCCCCTGTCCCCTGCTGGCCCACCTGGCTTCAGCCATCCCTGCCCAGAGCCTAAGCCATTCAGATCTCAAGCAGCTTAGACAGGGCCAAGGGAACATTCTGTGCCATCTGCGTATTGTATTAGCTACAACCGGCTTTTAATTAACATAACTGTAGGCTGGGGGCCAGTGCCTCAGACAGCAGGGAGGCAGCATAGGCTTTAACTCCAATGACTGATCTTATCCCAAGTTAGGAATGGGATTTGGTGCCACATCATTCAGTGTGGGGTAGAACAGGAACACCTGGGGAAGACACCTTAGACGATGTGCAGAGAGCCTTTCCACCATAGCCTCTCACCTATCAGGGCAGCCCAGCCATTGGGGAGAAGCTGCCTGGCCTGGAGCCCAGAAGGTCCACTGTGGCAGCCCTCCACAGGGAGCTGCAGGCCTTGGACTGTAATCAGTCAACAGACATTTCTGAAGAGCCCTCCACAGTTCCAGGTACAGAGACAAAGGAAAGGCCTTGACATCAAGGTATTTACGTTCAAAATAATATGTATGTGTGTAAATAGATGCAAAGCAAATATAAAGTGATGCTGGGGAAGGCACCAGCTGGGCACCACAGTGGATGGAGCTCTGGGCTTGGAGTCAGGAAGACCTGAGTTCACATGCAGCCTCCGATACTTAATAGCATTGTGATCCTGAGCAGTCTGCCTTAGTTTCTTCCTTTGTAAAATGGGGATAATTACAGCACCTCTCCCACAGAGAATCAAATGAATAGATGTAAAGTATTCAGCACAATTGCCTGGCCTATAGCAGGCACAATATAAATGTTAGCTATTATTATTATAGCAATGGGAGATCAGGAAAGGTCCCTCGTAGGAGATGGTGGGTGAATGGAGCTTTGCAGGAGGCTAGGGATGGAGTTAGGAGAGGCTGGTCTTTAGCCTGAGTCCTAGAGGATACAACATGGATGAATGGAATGAACAGTGGAGCTCCATGAGGCCAACAGAGACCCTCCAGAACTGGCCTTGGGGAAGGGAGACCAGGTCCCCTTCCCCAAACGGTGGCGATGCCAGTGACCACCATGTGCTTGAAGCCTGGACTTGGCCTGTGTATTCTGAAGGCTGGGGAGATGTTCCCTGAGCTGACTGGGCTCTGTATTCTGTGGGAAGCTGCCAGGACCCAAGGAGGAGAGGCAGGAAGAGAAAGCAGCATCCATTGTTCCCAGAACTTGCCCTGAGACAAAACACACACCCACAGATGGGCACAAACATCAAGGGAGCTAACACAATGGGGGAACCCCTTGCTTGTGACCCCAGGGTACCTTGCTGCAAACACGAGGTGGGGGGGGGTGAAGCCTGTAGAAGACAACTTTGGGGCAAAGTCCCGGCATTGGAGGAGGAGACAGCTCCACAGAGCCCCCACCCACCACAGCTTTCTTTGTGGGCCATAATCCAATGCAACAAGCATCTGCGTGTGCTTGGTATTGTCATAGGCCCTGGGAGTACAAAGACAAAAGTTAAAAACAGGATCTGCCTTCAAAGAGTTTACATTCTACCAGAGGAAACCAAAGACAGAATTAAGGTGGAGAAAGGGTGGGGGAGGCCTCGGAGGACTAAAAATTGCACCTACCCTGGGAAGTGAACCTCAGCTGGGCTTTGAAGGAAGCTTCATTCAACAAACATTTATTAAGCATTTGTTCTATGCCAGGCACTGAGCTAGACTGGGGACCCGTAGACAAAACGGCCCCTGGGCTAACACTCTATGAGGGTATTATGTCATTTAAATAGGTAACTAACTTGAGAAAGGCAAAACACTAGCAGAGGGATCAGGAAAGGTGACCCCAGCCACAAATACTCCCCATTCCCCAAAGTCTTCACCTCTTTCACAGGGTGATTGATTGTAGGCAGGGACCTCTAAGGAGAGATCACCTACTCTCCTACTCCAGGACTAAACTGATGTCTAGGTCCCCCAGACCCAGGAAGACCCTGGTGCCTTTTGCACTGGGCCAGGGGGAACTGATGTCCACCACAGAGAAAGTGCCAGCCCCCAGAAGATGTGCCCACCCTGAAGGGGGTACCCTGCCTCATTTCAGATGAAAAAGGGTGCTTTGGGCAGATTTCCTTTATGCCCACAGCCTGAGATGCCTTGACAGACAGCCAAACCCACAAGGCCACCATGCTATACCATGCTCATGAAGAGAAGCCTATGGTATATGGTGAACCTACAGTTCTGGACAATGAAAGTGAGCTTCTGGACTGACAGCCCTGTGGCTGTGTACCATCTGTCCAGCAGGCCTCTTCTGAATCATCCCTGCTAGTGCAGAGTAGAGCAGTAGCTCAAAAAATCCAGAATTAGATAATCCTGTCTGGCACAAAATCCTGGAAGCCTGTGATAATCCCAACATAGATAATCCTTTAAACGGATAATCCAAAATACCGGATAATCCAAAAACCCTTTCTCTGCAGCTCTGCAGGGCATTGTGTGATTCCCTTACCACAGGTGTCCCTTTTTGCTTCCGTGTGGTGGAAAGAGCACTCGGGGCAGTGAGGCATGGAGGAGAGGAAGAGGTTTGGAAGCATCCACGAGCTGGGAGGCTGCCAAACCAGGCCAGACATGCTGCTGTCCACAGGCAAGTGCCTGGCTAGAGTTTGAATCCAAGAGATCAGTCCATAAACCAGAGATTACAGGGAGGAGTCAGAGCTCAGACTGTGCCCTAGAGGAGTCTGCATAGAAGAGGTGGGAGGAGTTGGGCCAGACAGAGAAGAAGAGGGATCAGACCCCCAACAACTGATGGGAAATTTGGTTACATTGCTAGGAACTGGAGTCAGTGACAGTCCCCAAAGGAGGCTAGGCATCCTGCCCTACCCCCAGCCTTGACATTATTGCCCTCCTCCCCAGCTCACCCTCCCTATGCCTGGGCCATCTCGCTGGACCCCGGCCCAGGCCGAGCTAAGAGCGTGGGAAGAGGGAAAGTCTGCTAGGATTGACTCTGCTTAGTTCAGCTCCCAGACAAATCCTCCCCCGGGACAGGGGTAGAGTCCTGGGTACTGTGTGATTGGAGCTGGGTCTGAATATGTGTGTATGTGCAAACGTGCAT